GAAGTAGCTACTTCCATGCTATACTATAATGAATGGCCTCATCTACTATCCAATCCAAAAATGTCCAATCTCGACTGAATATCAGGAGCCACGTATCAGAAATTGATATCCGACCAAAACTACTACTTGTTACAGTCCCACTATATAATACCTGAATGTGTTGTTTTTTATTCTTTATTGTTGAAAAACAAGCCAGTTCTATGCATTCTTTAATCTAATGTTTGTTTTGATGAAAAATTAAACTTGAGAATTGGTCATCTCGCAGTTTTTATGAATGTTCTGTCTCTGTACAGCAAAGTTAAGTAGTAGGTCATCTCACAGTCTCTATGTGTTCTTGAACGTCCTGTTTCTGTACAAAAAAAACTAGACAGTAAGTCATTTTACAATCACTGTGTATTCTTAAATGTCCTGTTTCTGTATAGAAAGACTAGACAGTAGGTAATTTCAAAGTCTCTATGTATTACTACATGTTTTATTTCCTTACGTAAAACTCGATTCTAAGTGACCTTACAATTTGTAAGTACTCGTTGATTCTTGTTTGCTGACCACCATGCTCTCGTCCATCTTGTATTTGCAGGTTGATGCTAGGATTCATGCTGACCACAATGTTCTTGTCCATGTGGATCAGTAACACAGCTACTACAGCTATGATGGTACCTATTGTTGAAGCTGTATTGTGGGAGTTGGAGAAGGATGTTAATCGCAGTAAGGATACCATCTCCTGTGTGTCAGATGTTGGTAGGCATAAAGTTATAGAATGTGTTCAATTTCTAAGGAAGACAACTAGAACCCGTATAGTTCTAACTATTTCATAAGAACACTAACGTAAGTTTTGTGTCAAAAAAGTTATAACGGACGCAGTATTATACCAGAGTAAACAGTAAATGATGTAGATTTTATATGAAAGCAACTGTAATAATTGTTACTGCGGTACTATATACATATCTGAGTAAAAATGAATAATGTAAATTTTGTGTGGTAAGAATTTTAATTAATTTTGGCTGTTGTAATATATATATCTAAATAAAATGTTAATAATGTCGGTTTTGTGTGGTAACAATTGTAATGAATATTGGGTGTAGTAACATACAAGTAAAACAATAATCAATGTAGGTTTTATTTGATAACAGTTGGAATTAGTTTTGAGTGTAGTAGTATATAATTGAGTAAAACATTAATAATATAGGTTTTTTGTGGTAACTGTTGTGATCAAAGACTACTTTTATTGATATATCGGAGTGATACGTTGCGTTATAAGTTTTATTTGATAACTCCCACTTGTAATAGAAAATACAATGTAGTAATACGTATGTCTGAGTAAATAATTAACCCTAGAATTATCGTTTGGGTTCATATTGTACCCTCATGTCCACATTTACTTGTTAAATTTTCTAACTATTAATGCACCTAAATGTTCACGAGTTCATTACTTTGTTCGTTATAGACAGGAGTCACAATAAACTTCAAAGAAAGTGTCATCAATATTGCAATAAATCTCGCTAATGGTTGTTACATTGTAAGAGACAAAAGCATAGAATTACTAAATACGACACAATATGTGGATCCTCCTCGTTCTCTTAGTCAGTGTTTAATTCCGAGGTTGTACAGTGATGGAATTCCCCCTATGCAAAAAATTACCCCCATGAAGTAAGGTATTTTCCATTTTGTCAAATTTTAATTTTAATTCATTCCCCCACCCCCACTCCACACCCCCCAGCTTCACATTCCCATGGTGGAAATGTCTGGATTCAACACTGCTCTCGGTAGAATAATAAAGTTATGGAGCATGCCATAATGTGTAAAACGTTTTTGAAGTGTTATTGAAATTTATAAAGGTATTAACTTCCCAATGTCCGAATTAAATAAGACCTCCATATTGTATATCACTCAACAAAAAATTCTTATGAGACATTAACGTCAACGATCAATGAACCATAAATATTTCGCTTGACGTATAAGTTGAAATTTTCCAACCAACAACTTTTTTGATGTTCTACGGAACCCATTCTGCCATTAAAACAAAATTTCTAGTTTGGTGCATTTCAAATGTGTGTGGATTGAGCTAATTACTCTGTGTTTGAGTAATCCTTATAAAAGTATATATATATCTATGTGCTTGTGTAGTTGATGTCCGCCGTTTTGGCTGATATTTCATCTTGGTTTTTAGTTCTCCAAATGGACATAGTTCCTATAGATATTGGCCACACGAGCTTACAAGTAAAACCACCGAAGTCCGAGAAAGAGAAGCACACAAGAGATTCCCGCCACAAGTGAGTTTATCCAGTTTCAGTTGTTTTAAGAAATATTGTTAATCATATAAACATGAGAAAAGAAAAGAAAGATAATCTTTGGGCTCCTTTATGTAGAAGATATAATTCTTAACTGAAGACTTTTCTAATTCTTAATTTTGGATTCGCTTCGAAGGATTTCTTATACCACACGTTTGTCTTGGGATGAAGTAATACTAATTTTATTTGTCTCGGAGACTTAAATCTACCACTCTTGTGCATCAAATTGGATTGTTTTACTACTTTAATTAAATATCGTGTATAAAATTGGATTGTGTTACTACTTTAATTAAAATTTTGTGTACCAAATTGGATTGTTTACAATTTTAATTAAAATTTGTGTACCAAATTGGATTTTTTAATACTTTAATTAAAATTTTATGCATCAAATCCGATTGTTTACTACTTTAATTAAAATTTTATGCATCAAATCCGATTGTTTACTACTTTAATTAAAGTTGTGTGTATCAAATTCGATTGTTTTACTGCCTTAATAAAAATTTCGTGTATCAAATTCGATTGTTTTACTGCCTTAATAAAAATTTTGTGTATCAAATTCGATTGTTTTACAACTGTAATTAAAATTTTGTGTATCAAATGGAATTGTTTTACTGCATTAATTAAAATATTATTAAATTACTAAATCGGTTACAAAGTGTTTTACTACTTTTGATAAAGATAAAGACTATCGTATTAATCAATGAGTGTTTAATTTTTGTTAACAGCGGCGCAGAAAAAAGGAGAAATACAGCAGATGATATAAATATCCTAAGAAAAGCCTTGTTTCTCAGTGTAGCCTATTCAGCTAATATCGGTGGAACGGCAACACAGATCGGAACAGGGCCAAACTTGGTGATGAAAGGCCTCATGGAAGAGTAGGTTAACTCGATTGTTTTATTTTTCTGGTGCTGAAGTGATAAGAATGAGTCAACTCGACTCGTCTTTCTTTATGGTTAGAAATTGAAACAAGTCATGGCTATAGGAACTATAAGTGAGCGAATTCTGTTTTAAAGAATGAAAAAAAAAAAGCTAAATTTATACTAAAATTATACTTGTAATGTTTTTCACAAGGAAAAAAACTTCAACTTGAAATGATAAAATGTATGCTTTATGAAAAGTTAACGTGTTAATTTTTTCTATTTAGAATGTTTCCTGAAAGTACAGAAATCACATTCGCCACTTGGATGATGTATAACGTTCCCGGCATGCTTCTAGGCGTTTTCATTACGTGGACATTTTTCAACGTTTTGTATATTGGCTGCCGGTGAGCCTTTCTTTTTGTTACAAGTATAAATAATATTTCTAAAATGTATTGTTGTTTAATACCAATTTTTTAAAAACATAAATATCTTTGCTCGTCATTTATTTCATCTAGGATAGCCTAATTTTCTAGATTTAAACAATGCAAATGCAATTATTCATTTGTTTATACAGAAACATTTAACATCGACCTTTTTAGGAAAGATGCTAAAGAATCTACTCAGAAAGCAATTCGACATATCATTGAAAAGAAGTACGAAGAACTAGGACCAATCAAGTAAGAACTGATAGTTAGCGTCATCTATTGACAATTGTTTAATATTTGTATGATCAATCTCAAATAAAAATTATGAGTTATTGAATCAGCTACGCCCGGGTTTAGTACAATGTAAGTAAATATTTGGAGAAAATTTTATATAGGAAAATAGTTTTCTTAATCTTGAGTAAAAGTGTATTAAATTTATATTCTTGTTAATTTATTTCTCTCCCACAACTCTCTCAGCAGGTAGTGAAACTAAAGTATGAATCACTCAAATGCTTTTCCAGCTTTTTCCAGATGTTAATTACAGGCCCATAATTTTTGAATTTTACCAAAGCCTTAATGACATTCATTTGCTGGATTTTAACAATAAACTGGTAATTTTATAAAATAAGTAAGAACTTCAACATTTAAAAATGCACAATAATTTATTGTATAAAGTTAAAATATACAATTAAAACTCTACATGTTTCATTGGAAAATTTTCACCATATTCAGGAAGCCAGAAGAAACACGGGAACATTTATTTTTTTACAGGTAAGTGTACGTGTATAATTTGCATTTTTGGAAATCTGTAGAGGGCACTGTACAAATCCAAATTATATACATATACTTGCTTGTATTTTTGTTTGTTTGGAATTAAGCCTAAAGCTACACAATGGGCTATATGTGCTCTGCCCACCACGGGTATCGAAACCCG